CTTTATGGTTTAGGGTTTAACCATAAATAGGAGTAGGAGTAAAACTTTGTGCCCGGAGCCTGGCGCTGCCCGCGTACAGCTCGCGCATGAAAGCTAATTACTTCAAACAGGTGGTGCTCCATGGACGAGGGTCCTCAATCACGTCCGAGGCGTTGCCTGCAGCACCCGAAAAATAAGCTGCAGCCATCCGAGGCTGGTTGGAGCGGCTTTCACCTGTGAGCGCCTCGCACGGGGTGCATGAGCTGGTTTCAGCAGCGTTGGCAATTCGGACACCTCTTGCTCAGCGCCGAATCCCGGACCCCCGTGCATCAGGGTCCGCATACCACCCAGCCTCAGCCATGATCAGCAACTCCGACAGTGGAATAACTCGCGCCATGGCCCCAGGACAACTATCGTAAATTCGGTTCGCAACATACCTCTTCGTTGCCTGTGCTGTCCTCGAAACATCAGTCTGCAATGCAATGCGAAGTAACAAAATCTTGCCCGGACAAGTTGACGTCTAGTCAGGTCGATGCACAAGGGTTAAGCGGTTGGCATCTGTCCACTGCGAATCTTGCTTCAGCTTGAGCCGTAGCCATTTAGGGGTTTAGGGTCTTAGGGAGGCTGCAACCCAGGAACACGAATGGTTCAAGAACATGCTAACGCCCAAATCCTGAGGCCCTGACCCGAAGCCTAAACCCGAAACCACCAAAACCAACAAGTCCTCTAGCCTGTCAGCCTAGTACGATGAGAACAGAGATTGCCAACAAAGGAACCGGTCTGAATCCAATATTTCGAATAGGTTTTTGGGTATATTATACAAACATTTTATGAGCAACCTCCCAAAATATTGTTGGTAACTATTAAAGCGCCATGGATGGTAGTAGGGTTGGCTGTCAGGTCCTCAACAAAAGCTACGTTGCTCTCAACAGACACCATGTACTCCTTGTTGCTACCTGGACACCCAAAGTATGCAGAATAATATCGGGCCATTAGTTTACCTACTTTTGCGGGTTTGAGTAGTGACCTAAACCATCAACCCTACATTACTAAAGCCTAATAGATGCATTGCAACGTACCCTCCAATTCATGCCAAGATGCCGTGTCGAATCCTTGCGACTGCCAGAAAGCCTTCCGGCTTCCAAGATGGCTACAGAACGGTTTAGGGTTTAGGGTTTAGGCCCCAGGAAGTTGGAACCTGGGGTTTAGGAGGATTGGCGCCAGGATCCCCTATACTTTACCCTTAAAGGCATGAGGACATGACAGTGATGTTCCAACCTTCTGGCCTCTACTATAGGGCTCGGGTACCGAGGCTGAGGTTTCTTCCGGGAAATTTCGCGATTCTGACAGAAGAGCACCGAATCAAACGCTAGAAGCAGCAGGTTTAGGGTTTAGGGTTTAGGGTTTAGGGGGGAAGAAATCTTAGGGACCACCGACAAAAGTACACTACTGGTTGCCAGAGCAACAGAATGAAGCATGAGGATCAGCTTGCCAATGATACGTCGGTGCTACTGTTCACTGTCTTTGGCTTCGCATTCCCGAGTATTCTCTTCTGCGGTTCTAAACACCAGCCATACATCAGGGGCTCAGCATGTTTGCTGCGTACAAACGGCCCTACACCCCTAAACCCCCAAAAACCCAAAACCCTAAGGGCCTGTCCACCTTTGTCCAGCTCTGCAAGAGCGAGATCACCATCATACTGGACCTCGTACGACATGCGGCAGAAAAGATCTGAAAGGAACAAACATATACGTATGTATATATGTATAACTATACGTGTGAGTGCGTGTGGTTGATATATCGTTACATACATGCACGCACATACAGATGTACATACATACATACATACATACATACATACATACATACATACATGCATACATATATACATACATACATACATACATACATACATACATACATACATACATACATTAATTGCATACATACATATATACATACATACATACATACATACATACATACATACATACATACATACATTAATTGCATACATACATACATACGTACATACATACATACATACATACGTACACACATACATACATACATACATACATACATACATACATACATACATTATAACAAATGTGCGTACATATGTATGAAAAAAATATATATATATATATATATACACATAAGTATGTGTACCTACGACAGAACTATAAAACACAAGACGAGCAAAGCATTGTTGTTTCACATATTACACGACCAAGTGCTCCTGAAGCTCACATCAAAGCTACAGATTCCGAGGCCCCAAAGAGACCCAAGCCTTGCTCACCTTGATAGTTGTCGGACAGCAGAAGTCGGAGCATCTAACTAAGTTTAAAGGTTTAGAACTTACACTTCGACAACTCGGACAATACGGGCGAGGTCTCAAGAGTAGTCGCGTAGTCTGTGTGAAAACAAGTGCTGCCTCCCTGTTTAAACTTTAGGGTTTAGTGTTTAAGGTTTCGGCTCTCACACTCGGACAATCCAGGCGAGGCATAAGGTGCTTAAGGTTTAGGGTTTTATTGGGGCGGTGGGATTGGGGCAATGTAACCCCTTTGCAACACAACAAGGTTCTGGATGTATGAGTTCTTACCGAGATCTATCAAAAGGCAGAATCAGTGGCCCTCACAGCGATTGGCGAAGAATTGTCAGGTTTCGGAGTTTCGGTCCAAGCGACAGGCTTTGAGGTACTGCGTGCAGGAAACCTACAAGCCCCAAGGCCCTAAACCCTAAGCCCATAAACCCCACGACCTGCAACGTCAAGTAGTCGTGGGCATTCTAGTGCTGCAGTTTCGCTGACGATGAACCATCCCATTACTGTACCTTCATTCCCACAACTACCTTTCAGTGTGCCAGCCCGCATAGACAGCTATGAGTACGAAGACGAAGTCTACTTCATGTGCTTCTCTTTTGCTTCAAGAGCTGTAATTCTCCAATCTCTGAAGAGCGGCTCTCTGTCAATGCCACGCTCAGTCGGCACCCCTAAACCTAGAAAGCCCTTAGTCCCTTGTAGAACCCGTTTAAGAACCCCCAAAACCCTATAGTTTAGGGTTTAGTGTATTTAAAAACCCCCAAACCCTATAAAACACATGGTAGAAAGCTCTCGCACCGATCCAGCCCGTATGTTCTGTCATTAGCGCCCTCCGCCGAGCTGCCGTCTGTGGCTGATTCTCCAAGCCACCTCCCAACCTCAGCTGGGGAATACCGAACCACGAGGGCTCAGATTCTCTAATAGAGGGGCTCTTAACCCTAAACCCGAAGCCCTAGACCCTATTATCGGGGCCTTTAGTGTCTAATTGTAGGAAGGAACTCTACGAAGAAGATTTGGTAATTGTTCCGGCCTCTCTAGCAAACTATGGCTCCTCAGTTTCCGGAGAGGAGTACCCTTGCCCCAAACACCAAAATCTCGCTTTTTCAACAACCAGGCCCAAAGAAGCTCAAACCTTGTAGGATAGACCTAATATATATATATATATATAGGGCCAAAAAGATTAAAGTCCTCCCATTGGCTATCTAAGAACTAGGCGCAACACCCATCTCCTGAGCCTGCATTTCGCTGCCAGCCTGTACTATTGCACGACTGTTATCGCAAGTGCGGTGTCTGCCATTGGAACCGGAACAGTTAAAACAATGTGAATAGTTCTCTAAATTCGGGTCCACAACATAGTACGGCCTAGGACCCCAAAATTGACCCTAATTACCCTTATTTAGAGAACTCGCCATGTGATTTTTTGATGACATGACGGAGACTGAGGCGACAAACCAGATAATCTAGGCCGTCATCAGCCGGATCGGGATCATCAAAGACACCGATAACCCCTAAAACACGAAAACCTCTCTTCATCAGCCTGAACCAGATCAACAAAGACTCTAATAATCGCTAAAACGCGAAAGCCTCTCTCTCCTTTGTGCCCTAAACCCTAAACCAATAATCCCTAAAACACGACAGTCTCCCTCTCTCCTTTGTGCAACCAGGGGGCCCCGTCAAACTGATCGTGAGACCAGGATGGCCTTCGACTCTACAAAGACACGGCTTAGGGCGTACCCACAGGCCCCATAGTAGTTCCATTTTGGGATTTCCTTAGAGGATTCTAAATATGAACCCCCAAAAGGAACTACTATGGGGCCAAAAGGTAGGGCCCAGGGAGAGTTTAGAAAGTATATCTCTTAGCTTCACGAATCTGCAACATCTGCAGCAACCCAATAGCCTGGTGGCGTTTAAACGGATATCACTTTATGAAAGCTTATGGCCAGGGCCCAGACATTGATCAGAGAACCCATTCAGAAACCACTACAGTACAACAAAAACACTTGGCTCGGAACCCTCCAACCACTTATTCCGTGCCTCGTGTGGATGCCAACCCTGGTGGCATGTTGTACGGCAGCTCATAGGCACCATTCAACAGCAGCTCCTATATACGTGGGATTTAGGGTTGAGGGTTAACCCTAAACCGCAGGTTGAAGGCCAAGGAATTTGGTGCTTCTCGAGACTCGTTGGGTTCGGCTTACCGCTTTGCTGCGATCATGGTGAGATGTGGGCATTGCATGGCTGATAAGGCAAAAGAAAAAGAACGTATATGATGGTTTATAATGATATGAAGTAAAGCCTAGTCATGCACACACACACACACATATATAACATTTAGATGTGCTTATGCATGTGTGTATATACGCATATGTTGTATTATAATTATATCAGATAAACAAATAAATAATATATATATATATATATATATATATGCGTGTGTGTGTGTGTGTGCCCGTGGTTTTTACGGTTGCAAGCAAACAGTGTGGATACTTAGACAGTCTAGGATCTCCTACAGCCACCTTCCACTTCGAAACCGTTAGCACAAAAACCCTTCAAACCTGAAACCCTAAACCCCTTCAACCCTAAACCCTAATAACCCCAAACCCCTAAACATGCGACGTGTTCTTGAGCCTGGATCTGATCTATGCCAGCACCCCACTGCACCACTGCACACGAGGCAATGAACCTGAAACTCCTGAAACTCTTATAAGGTTGAGGGTTTCTTTTTCACGGTAGAGGGGCCTAAGGGCTGAGGATGGTTTTGCAATTACTGAAGCCATCACTTGCAACCCAGAACCCTGAACCCTTCCACATGGGTAGTTCTCTAAAGTAGGGTCCCTTTTAGGTCCGCAGTTTAGTACGGCACCCTTGTAATGAGGACCCTAAACGGGACCCTAATTTAGAAAACTATCCACATGCATCCTTGGAGATCACGGCGCAGAAGAAGTGGCGAGTGCCCCAAATCGCCCGGCTCGGCGAGTACTTCTTCATGTCCAAGATCCTGAGGCGAGCCCAGCATCTAGATATCCCTCTACTTGAGTTATAAGTGGAGTTACAAGTCCCCAATATGGCTTATAACTATAGTTACC